TGAACCTAGGCCTGATATACTAAACCAAAGTGACTATGTAGCATGGTTAAACTCCCAAGCGTAGTCTGAATGTGCAGAACCAAAGTGAATAGGTGGCGTGGCCAAATGTAGGCCGATTGAACTGAATCAGAATGAAAATGTAGTATGGCCGAATGTTCTGATGAATGTATGCATCATGAATGAATGTACTAAGCTGTAATGCAACTGTGCATAGTCTGATTGTATGGAACCAAAGTGACTATGTAGCGTGTCTAAGCATAGGGCGAATGCACAGAATTAAAGTGAAAAAGTAGTGCAGCCAAACAATAGCTAAATATACTCCACCAAAATTAATCTGTAGCATGGTCAAACATAGGCCAAATGTACTGGTCCAAAGTGAATATGTAGCATGGCCAAACATTAGCTAAATGTACTGAGTCAAAACAAAAATGTAACATGGCCAAATGTAGGCTAAATGTACTGAACCAAAGAGATTATGTAGCATGGCCAAACTTATGCCAAATGTATAATGTAAAAGAAGGAGAAAATCAAGGGAGGTTGATTGTGGCTCAGGTACCCTAATCACAAACAGGTTCTCCTCCACCGATGCTGGACTGCCATTCTAAGCGGGAAGCTCGCCAACTGGAAGTTGTGTGAGGTAACCTAACAACCAGATTCCAAACATCATCAGATCTTCAGAAGGGGGTAGATATAGGCCGGCAAAAAAATCACTCACACAGACAGAACCCTGCAATAGGCTTACCTAGGAATAATTCACCTTTGTGCTATGTTCCATAATTCCATAATAATTCACCTTCGTGCTATGTTCCATAGCTTGGTGCTACTTCTAAGTGCTGTTTCTAAGTGTGTAGTTGGAGATATTCTGGAGAGTTTTACAGAAGCTTCAACTGTCTAAGAGTTGTGCTAAGAGCTTTCTTTTCTACTGTTACAGGTAAGATTCATCTGTAGGAAAAGGTTACTGATTGCCCAAGGTTTGAATTCCTGTTGGTAATTATAAGGCATTTGATTTGATTAAGCTAGTTACTTGCTGTTGATTGCTGGTTAATTAGCTATTGTTTGCAAATAAGCAGAGGCCTACCCAGGTGTTAAACATTCCTAGTGGGCGGTGATTTAAGGAGTTATATAAGGCTTGGTCTCATTAGCTTGTCTAATATAGCTTGGTGCTACTTCCAAGTGCTGTTTCTAAGTGTCTAGTTGGAGATATTCTGGAGAGTTTACAGAAGCTTCAACTGTCTAAGAGTTGTACTAAGAGCTTTCTTTTCTACCGTTACAGGTAAGATTCATCTGTAGGAAAAGGTTACTGATTGCACAAGGTTTGATTCCCTGTTGGTAATTATAAGGCATTTGATTTGATTAAGCTAGTTACTTGCTGTTGATTGCTGGTTAATTAGCTATTGTTTGCAAATAAGCAGAGGCCTACCCAGGTGTTAAACATTCCTAGTGGGCGGTGATTTAAGGAGTTATATAAGGCTTGGTCTCATTAGCTTGTCTAATATAGCTTGGTGCTACTTCCAAGTGCTGTTTCTAAGTGTGTAGTTGGAGATATTCTGGAGAGTTTTACAGAAGCTTCAACTGTCTAAGAGTTGTGCTAAGAGCTTTCTTTTCTACTGTTACAGGTAAGATTCATCTGTAGGAAAATGTTACTGATTGCCCAAGGTTTGAATTCCTGTTGGTAATTATAAGGCATTTGATTTGATTAAGCTAGTTACTTGCTGTTGATTGCTGGTTAATTAGCTATTGTTTGCAAATAAGCAGAGGCCTACCCAGGTGTTAAACATTCCTAGTGGGCGGTGATTTAAGGAGTTATATAAGGCTTGGTCTCATTAGCTTGTCTAATATAGCTTGGTGCTACTTCCAAGTGCTGTTTCTAAGTGTCTAGTTGGAGATATTCTGGAGAGTTTTACAGAAGCTTCAACTGTCTAAGAGTTGTGCTAAGAGCTTTCTTTTCTACTGTTACAGGTAAGATTCATCTGTAGGAAAAGGTTACTGATTGCCCAAGGTTTGAATTCCTGTTGGTAATTATAAGGCATTTGATTTGATTAAGCTAGTTACTTGCTGTTGATTGCTGGTTAATTAGCTATTGTTTGCAAATAAGCAGAGGCCTACCCAGGTGTTAAACATTCCTAGTGGGCGGTGATTTAAGGAGTTATATAAGGCTTGGTCTCATTAGCTTGTCTAATATAGCTTGGTGCTACTTCCAAGTGCTGTTTCTAAGTGTCTAGTTGGAGATATTCTGGAGATAACCTGGAGGTAATCTGAGGTATTCAGGAGGATAAAGAAAAAAGTTAAGATTTGTTAGATTTAAATTATTCTCATAATTGGAATGGCAGACTTAGTTCAGTGTAACAATTGCTATGCATTTGTTTCACGTTCCACTTTTTGGAGGTTTGGTTGTTGTCTAATCTGTAGACAGTTCTCTATCTTGCGGCAGGAGATTGTATTTTTGAAGTCTGAGATTTGTAAATTATCTGGTGAAGAAACTCAGACTGGAACTGCTGCAAAGCCACTGCCGCAGAGACATGCTAGGAAAGGCAGATGGATTACTGTAGGATCTGGTAGACTTAGAGTTGTGGATAAAAGGCATTTTGCACAGTCTGTTGCTCTTCATAATTCATTTTCTGCACTTTCAGAGTGTAATGGTGTTGTGGAGAGAGGCACTGAGGCTAGTGGTGTTGTGGAGAGAGGCACTGAGGCTAGTGGTGTTGTGGAGAGAGGCACTGAGGCTAGTGGTGTTGTGGAGAGAGGCACTGAGACTAGTGGTGTTGTGGAGACCCGGCTTGGAGACTATGGTGAGGCCTTATAGAAAGCAGTTGTTGTTGGGGATTCCATCATTAGAGAGGTGTGGAGATGGACAATGGTGGTCTTGTGAGGTGTCTTCCCGGAGCTACTGCTCACAGAGACAGGAGACGTATCTTTAATATTGTTAAGCAAGCAAAGCAGGAAGGGGAATTGGATGTACTTGTCCATCTAGGCACAAATGACTTGGCTTGCAATGAGGTTTCAGAGGTTAAGGAAGTTTTTAGTGTTTTTGCCAATGATATACGGCAGGTTGCTTCCACACTGTCATTCTCTGAAGTTCTGCCTGTGCATAACACTCAGAACGACAGGCGGATGCGTTATTAGGGACTTTAATTTGTGGCTTGGTGAATGGTGTCGGGAGCAAGGATTTGGCTTTATTTCTCATGGTAGCTCTGTTTGGAATGGAGATAAGCTGTACAAAAAAGATGGTTTGCATCTTTCTCAAAAGGGAACAAATGTTCTCAGTGAGCAGTTCAGAGGTTTTGCTGTATTTAAACTAGGAGGGGGAGCAAAAGGGTGATAAAACATCAATCCAATTGTCCCCCAAAAGAAGGACAGAAGGTGCCTGTAGCAAGTGTGTTAAAAAATGATAAGCTTAGAGTCATGTCTACAAATGCTCGCAGTTTAGGGAATAAGATCCATGAACTTGTGGCAATAATGGCAACTGATAGTGTAGATTTAGTCGCTGTTACTGAGACATGGTACAATGAGAAAAATGACTGGGACATAGCAATACCAGGGTACTCTTTATATAGGAAAGATAGGGAAGGCAAGAAAGGGGGAGGGTGGCCTTGTATGTGAAGGATAGCATAAAATCTAGCCTAATAAAAGTTAGTGAGGCAAACATAGAGTCCGTTTGGGCTACGTTAGAATTTGGTAATCACACAGTAACTCGTGTAGGTGTGATTTATAGGCCCCCAGGACAAATTGAAGAGTTAGATAATCTACTAGTTGAGGAAATAGCTAAAATGACAATGAAGGGGGAAGTTATCATCATGGGTGACTTTAATCTTCCTGATGTAAATTGGAAAACAAAATTAGCTACTTGTGCCAGGGGCACACATATTCTAAACTCCCTACTGGGATTGTCTCTAAAACAAGTTGTTGAGGAGCCAACTCGTAAAGAGGCCATACTAGATTTAGTGTTAACAAATGGAGATTTGGTATCAGATATTACTGTAGGTGAAAGTTTAGGATCCAGTGATCATCAGTCAATGTGGTTTAATATAAGAACAGTGACTGAGTCACACCACACAAAAACAAAAGTTTTAGACTTTAGAAAAACAGACTTTTCTAAAATTAGAATATGGTAGAGGAGTCATTATCAGACTGGAGCAATTTAAATGGAGTCCAAGAGAAATGGGATTATTTAAAAGTTGCACTATTGAAGGCAACAGAAAATTGCATTAGGCTTGTCAGTAAAAGCAAAAAATTCAAGAAACCACTGTGGTACTCCGCAGATGTGGCCAAAATAGTTAAAAACAAAAAGTTAGCATTTAGGAATTATAAAAAAACCCAGAGTGAGGGAGACAAAATGATCTATAAGATTAGGCAGAAAGAGGCTAAGCAAGTTATAAGAGCTTCCAAATCACACACAGAAGAGAAAATAGCACAGTCAGTAAAAAAGGGGGATAAAACATTTTTTAGATACATAAATGAGAAAAGAAAAGTAAAACAAGGATTAGTTAGATTAAAAACAAAAGAAGGAAGGTATGTAGAAGAGGATAAAGGTCAGGCTGACTGCCTCAATGAATATTTTGTTCTGTATTTACAGAAGAAAATGAAGGAAAGGGACCTCAGTTGAGAAAAAGGATAAATGAGTCATTTATTACACATGAGTTTACAGAGGAAGAGTTTCTATTTCAACTGTCAAAAGTAAAGACAAATAAGTCAATGGGACCTGATGGAATACACCCAAAGCTATTAAAAGAGCTTAGTGGTGTACTAGCAAAACCATTAACAGATTTATTTAACCAATCATTGTTAACAGGAGTAGTCCCAGAAGATTGGAAGTTAGCGAATGTTGTGCCCATTTACAAGAAAGGTAATAGGGAGGAGTCGGGCAACTACAGGCCAGTAAGCCTTACTTCAGTAGTGGGGAAAGTGATGGAAACCATGTTAAAGGATAGGATTGTTGAACATCTAAAAACACATGGATTTCAAGATCAGAGACAACATGGGTTTACTTCAGGGAGATCATGCCAAACTAATCTTATTGATTTTTTTGATTGGGTAACTAAAATTATAGATCAGGGTGGTGCAGTAGACATTGCTTACCTAGATTTCAGTAAGGCTTTTGACACTGTTGCACATAGAAGGCTTATCAATAAACTGCAATCTTTAAGTTTGGATTCAAATATAGTTGAATGGGTAAGGCAGTGGCTGAGTAACAGGCAACAGAGGGTTGTAGTTAATGGAATATATTCGAAGCTTGGACTTGTCACCAGTGGGGTACCTCAGGGATCCGTACTTGGACCCATTCTCTTTAATATTTTTATTAGTGATATTGCAGAAGGTCTTGATGGTAAGGTATGTCTTTTTTCTGATGATACTAAGATATGTAACAGGGTTGATGTTCCAGGAGGGATAAGCCAAATGACAAATAAGTTAGGTAAACTAGAAAAATGGTCAGAATTGTGGCAACTGACATTTAATGTGGATAAGTGCAAGATAATGCATCTTGGACGTAAAAACCCAAGGGCAGAGTACAGAATATTTGATAGTCCTAACCTCAACATATGAGGAAAGGGATTTAGGGGTGATTATTTCTGGTGACTTAAAGGTAGGCAGACAATGTAATAGAGCAGCAGGAAATGCTAGCAGAATACTTGGTTGTATAGGGAGAGGTATTAGCAGTAGAAAGAGGGAAGTACTCATGCCATTGTACAGAACACTGGTGAGACCTCACTTGGAGTATTGTACACAGTACTGGAGACCGTATCTTCAGAAGGATATTGATACCTTAGAGAGGGTTCAGAGAAGGGCTACTAAACTGGTTCATGGATTGCTGGATAAAACTTACCAGGAAAGGTTAAAGGATCTTAACATGTATAGCTTGGAGGAAAGACGAGACAGGGGGGATATGATAGAAACATTTAAATATATAAAGGAATCAACACAGTAAAGGAGGAGACTATATTTAAAAGAAGAAAAACTACCACAACAAGAGGACACAGTCTTAAATTAGAGGGACAAAGGTTTAAAAATAATATCAGGAAGTATTACTTTACTGAGAGGGTAGTGGATGCATGGAATAGCCTTCCAGCTGAAGTGGTAGAGGTTAACACAGTAAAGGAGTTTAAGCATGCGTGGGATAGGCATAAGGCTATCCTAACTATAGATAAGACTAGGGACTAATGAAAGTATTTAGAAAATTGGGCAGACTAGATGGGCCGAATGGTTCTTATCTGCCGTCACATTCTATGTTTCTATGTTTTTTATCACTATCAATATGATGATTCTGCTCTTGGCCAGGACTCACCGAGGAGACTGGAAGAGAGAGCAGCATGGCAGAAAGGGAGGGCTAGAATCACAGAACTGGAAGATTTATTTCTCTTCTTCCTCATGCTATATCTGTAATAAACTACTCCATCAAATGTTTACTGGTCAGTTAGCCCCCTGCACAGGGTACAGAGGTAGATTTGTTTTTTTTAATACTTTTTATACTTTAACTTTGGTGTAAATTGTCCTTTTATTTACATAAAACAGCAATAATACAATGTGATAACAAATAAAAGTGTCAACAATCAGTAGAGGACAAGTACTTGGAGATTTAGTGCAATTTCATTTATTTAGCAAATTGTGTTTGTGCAGACAATCTCTTTGTCTATGCTGCATTTTTGTTCAAGCAGACATTTGCTGTCTTTGATAGGATCGTGCCCTGCAAAATGCATGCCTTGTACTTTCTTGACATCTGCCCTTCGTGCAGAAAATCCCTATCAGGGGACAGTCATTTAACCCAACCTTGTGTATTGTAATTCAGCACTGTCGTGTTTTTTATAAACCTTCGGGCTAGAAAAGCCATTTTGTAGCATGAAATGTACCATAGATATGTTCACTGAGTTCTAAGCACTTTGTCTAATTTTCCGTTAACGCGGCAAATTGTTGTAAAAATATGAAATGGATTTATAATTTGTCCCATTCAAATTAAACATTCGAAAGAGCATTTTATATTTTTTGTTCTGCAGAAAAATAATAAAACGTACATACCTATTCAAAGAGTAAAATGTATACAGAAATCTAGGCACTTCATATACTCTCTGTTCATCATCTAGCTTATTGTTCAATAGTTGGCTAAATGCTATGATACTTTTAAATTGAAAAAAAAGACAAATAAGCTTATTTATTAACTTTAGTACTTTGTGAAACAAATCACGAGCTGGTACTATATAAATTTTGTCTATACAAATACACTCTTTTGAATCAATAATTATTTGACTTACTGTGTTCTGTCTATAATGTTTTGTCACCATCTGAACACTGATTATTTTAAACATTGCTGAATATTTATCTTAAATAAACACTAAACTGCAGGAACAATATATTTGGATCAATGATGTAGCTAATCATTTCTATCACTGCCTGGGGCTATTGTATTAAGGGCAGGATTTTACAAAGGCAGGAGAATACAGGACACGTGTATTCACTCACTAAACACTAACTTCAAAGCTCACAAAATGTAATCAGGTTTTTTAACACACCTAACTCAGGCAAAAATAATTGTGATTTAGTTACAGTATATGATCATACATTGCTTAAGCCTGCCAGATCGCCAATGTATCCCATTAATCCACTTTCTCTGGAAACCCACCCTCCTGGGGCTATCGGCAGTGCAAGGTTATATAGGCCCTTCAACCTGTGACATGGAGGGATGCAAAGCTACATGAATTGGCCTGGACTCCCAAATATATATATATATATATATATATATATATATATATATATATATATATATATAAAGAAAAAGGTTGCACTCACCTACACATGCAAACATTATATCAGTGCTGCTGAGGCTAATTATTACAAAATACAATGTCGAGCGCACTCAGTCACTAAACATCAACTTCAAAGTTCACAAAATGTAATCGTTTAAAAAAAAACAAAAAAATAAAACACGAGAGTGAGGCAAATATAAAGGGGATTTTAGCCTTTTCGGTTTCATATATAAATGTATTTGGAAATCCAGGCCAACTCCTTTGGATTTGCAACCATGCATGATGCAGGCTAATGCCATGTATGATCATATACTGTGTTTTTCGACTGTGAGTGCGCTGGATCTTGTATGTTGTATTAATTGGCACTATCATTACCCGTTTAATTTATGCATGTTTAGGTGAGTGCAGTCTTTCTTGGTTATATATAGTTATATTACCTAAAATATGTGGTTTTTTTCTAAATGCATATATGGAGGTGTGTCTCTTATTGTCTATTTAACCTCATAAAGATCAAGTTGTATGCTTCCAGCCACCCCAATCAGCCCCATTAGATGGTTTATTTATTTTATTTTTTATTACAACACTCTGCTGCCAGTGAATAATACTTTAATAAACTATTGAGAGTCCATGTGAGTCTCTTGCCAACCCCTACTCTACTCTCTATACATGGCATTGCAGGGTAACCTTCGGGACTGATAATACCCCACAAGATCCTTTCAAGCAGTGGTTTGTGGGATAAGTAGTTTTAGCCCCACGTACAGTTCCATTCATTACTCTGGATGAGAGTTATTGTTCAGTAAGCTTTTTGCAGCCATACTATGACCCATTTCTTCTATTGTGTTCTAGGCTGTGCAGAGGGCAGTGGGTCAATCGTAGAATAAAAAGGTAGTTGTTACATCATAACCTCTGCGATGATATAAAGTTGCTATGTGTTTAAAATCATTCTTCAAAATAAAAAAAAATAGTTGCCTTAAACTGAAAGCTTTGAAAGTGGAGAACATCGACCTTAAGACATTATAAAATACTCGCATATAAGAATCTACATATTTTCACTGTGTGCTATCTTTTCTATATTTTGTGTGTTTTTTCATCATCTTTCTTCCTCTCTCCATACCCTTTTTCTTTTCTTTTTTATTGAACTTGTGTGCCTTAGTAATTTCCATGAAGTCCTAAAAGCATAATGGTTGAATTTATACTCTAGACATTTCATGTTTTGTACGCTCTAAGGATTTCAGCATGTTTCCTTCTCTTTCTGAACCACTGAAAATGTTGATATTTTTCTGTATATATCGAGAATTCATTCCGCAGTTAATCACTGTGTCTATGAGACAATGAGAGCAACATTAACCTGATTGATGGATTGATCACATCTTATCTATATCCCAAGGAGAGACGATGAACACATCATTGTAATTTTAATATATAGCTCAAAGGCAACATTTATTAACCATCAAACATTCTTGTTTGCAATATAGGAAATATAATTAAACTATGGCTTACAGCATTGAATAACTAAAGAGAGCAATAGAGGCATTTTATTTTTTTATTTTTGCTGCTGCTTCCTTACGTTTCTGCATTCGTGTCCACTTGCCTGTGGTTCATTTTAAAATCTAAGTAGCCATTTATTATCCATTCATCTTAAAAATGTCTTTGGAATGGTTTTGCAATCAAATATGGATCATGAACGTGTAGCATAAAGAAAAGAGAAAAAAAATCAAATTAAATCCATAAAATGGCTAATGTGTTTGTAGTTAAGCGTAATGATACATACCAAAGTATGTAACTCTGTTAGAACAAGACCATCTTTAATCATGGAACAACTTTGACAATGTATAACTACTGCTTCTGACCTTATCAGTACTTGGTTTAAAGGAGATTTAAGATTTCATGTTCATCATTTTGATCAAGAAAAACATCTATGTCAATATATTCCAGGTGCTCATTTGTGTACCATTGTTTCTACTACTTTATAATATTTCAACTTGTCCCCTTATCCACTTATCATCCTTCAATATAACTACTCCCCAATTCATGACCATCATACATTTTTCTCCATTTAATTTCCTCCCCTCTTCATTTCTGTAATCTATTTATCTGAGAGTAGTCATCATTGAATTTAACAGACACATCTGGCTATTGTACACTTCAGTATACATAAGGGTTTTTAAAGGAACTATAGTGTTAAATAAATAGGTCCCCGGCCCCTTTTGATCATATGGTAAAAGTGAGTTTACTCCTTTCTCCCTTGCTGCATCAGTCTTGCCATGGTTGGCCCTCCATGGCTTAAATCCTCAAGCTTCATGATTTCAGCCAATCTAAGATTATTGCGCTTGTGCAGAAAAATGCCACTCTGCGCCAATCAGCATATCCTCACAGAAATGCATTGAATTAATGCATCTTTATTGGGAATGTTGAGCACCTCCACGCAAAGCGTGGAGATGCTGAATGCCAGTGCTGCTCACTGTGCTGTTGTGGGATAGGAAGCAACTCTAGTGGCCTTCTGAGTGATT